AGTGTATTAGCAGTGTGACTTTACTGTGGACCCAGTGTATTAGCAGTGTGGCTTTACTGTTTTACTCCATCTGGCATCTGAAAGCTGCTTATTTCTCATTAGCCCCTCGGATTCTGTACTAGAAGCATGGGGTATAAGGCAGGACGCACATTGGCTACAGGATGCCAGTACATCACACACACAAGTACACATGGGCAATTTAGAAACATCAGTTAACCCAGCTGTCTTATCCTTGAGAATTGTATGAAAACTGGATCACTTGAAGAAAACTCACACAGACTAAGGAGAAACGTGCAAACTACACACAGAAGGTACCCAGGCTGGAATCAAAACCTAGATACAGCATCTCTAACCACCACAGCACAGTATCACCCTCACAAATCATTCTTTTCTAATTTATTCTTGTAATATGCTTGCTCTCTAGCTCTTACCAGCACTGTACTGTTCACAAATTATGCTGCTTCTCCTGCTCTGGTCTATTTGATTAAACGTCCTTAAGTTCCCTGGTTTCCATTCGACACGTTCTGCCCATGTGGATGTGTCCCTCTAGTGGTGATCTGGTGCATCGCAACATGTTAACGGGCTTTATTTCCCAGTCAGACCTTCTCCTGATGCCTGACCCTGATGCTTTAAGTTGCTTTGTTATGAATTTTAGTCCACAAATAATAGGCTTAAATGTATTTGAGTTCTATAATCTGTAAGAAACAAGACAGACAGAAAATAGGAACGTACACTGGACAAACACTGGGTTTGAATTCATTAACACTGAATTCTTCAATAATCTCTGTCCATACCGAAGGATAAAAGTTGTAGGATAAGCAAGTCAGCTAAGAATAAGAACAGCCTTTGAGTTTGATTTGTTGTTCTTGTGTCATATTCATGGCCATCCTGAAGAGGAATTGTACCACACTGATCAAGTTTACCATCTGTGACTCTACAGCACCTTGCAGGTTTTAAAGCAAGTCACCATGACCTATCAAGGTGAACAGAACAAAATGTGTTTTGAAATCTGTCTGATACAGGTAGATGGCTTCGCTGCAAAGTTCAAAAGAGTTGCCGATATCAATATGACTTGTAGGAAGAGACAAGTCTCCTGTTCCCAATGATTTCGGCCTGCCTCTGTGTCCCCCAGGACTGTTTCCAGTTTGGATTCTCCTGCCTGTCTCCCTCCCCCCAAGTGTCCTGTCCTCTAGGATGAGAATTCAGCAGGTCTTCTGTACTGTATATCTTCTTAAATCATTAACAGCTCTGCTCCTGTGGAGGAGAATTCAGTTGACCCAGGTAAGCTTTAGCCAGCACAGTTTATCCCTTCTCCTCAGCTGGATTCTAGACTCTGAGGACAGGAGCTGGAAAACTCTGCTCTCCGTGATATTTAGCATTTTATGACATATAACCAAACCTAGCTGTCAGGGAGGAGGTGAGCACACTTTCAGTAACTGTATAATAGAGCTGAGTCATATTACTCTGCTGCACACCTAAGTCTTTCAGCTTGAGAAAGAACAGATGATGTGGTGTTTTTGTACAAGAGAATTAATACTGACATCCCACAGAGACTGTTAGAGGTGATCGAGCCAAGATGGAGCTTGTATGAATGCTATCTCTACAGTCTCAGACTTCATGCCTTCACAGTGCCACTGTAGTGGTGTCATCAGCAGATATACTGTAGTGTGCTGAATATCAATAATATAAAACAAACTTCTTTAGCATGTTTCTAATGACAGAGTGAGAGACAGGTGGGGCAAGGCAAGAAAATGTGGATCTCGGAGTCTGTTTTATTTGAACCAAACTGCTACCTTCTCGGGAGGTGGTCTCAGTTCTTCTGAGCAGAAAGAAACTGAGCTTGGGTCATCGTGCTTTTGTGCTTTGCGTTTTCTGGGGCAGCTTTTCACAGGAACAGCATGCAAAGGTGAGGGTGTGCCTCAGCTCATGTTGCAGAAGCATTAGGACTGCCTGTGCAAGGCTCCTGTCTTTGTGGCATCATTAATTTTCTTTGAGAACATTTTTTCAAACTAGTAGTAGTTCTGCAGCAGAGAATGTGTGTTTCTGTGTAATCACGGTTTTGCAGAATCCTTTTATAGTTGTAAAAAATTGACCACAATGATGATTCAATAAATTAGTTAACAATAGCACCCATGGTGATACATTTACTTGTACATAGCTACAGGTATACCAGACAACAAGACCATTACTTCTCCATGTAATCTCCAAAGCCTCTCATTCACACACCAAAGCATTGAACGTGGTGTAATAGTAACCTGCACCAAATTCCTCAGCCTGCAGCGCTTTACAATAGTCTGCAGCTTCCCTGCTGGACAGCTGCTCTGTTAAGGAATTACAGAGACGGAAGCCACTAGGGGCCAGATCAGGGCTGTGAGGTGGCTGGTCCAGAACGTCTCACTCGTAACAATGTGGACACTCGTGGATGTGGTCGGCACAGCAGTGTGCGGCCGGACATCGTTGTGCAGGAAAAAGAGGTCCTGGTGCTACTAGCCCAGGACTTTTTGCATGAATGCCCTCCAGCAACAGTCCAGTGTGTCCCACAAGGGAGGCAAGCACAATTGGCATAGGCTCTGTGTGTAACTGCCTCATGGATTAGCAGCTAGGAGGAAAAGGGCTAATAGTCTGTGTTTAGGCTCTTACAGAGAGTCTGTGTCCAGGCTCCTGTAGGAAAGACAGTGAGTGAACGTGCAGAAGTGAATCGGTTTGGAGACTCTATATAAGCACGGGTGAAGTCCTATGGGCTCCTGTGCTTTAACATCACCAGACCAGTGTCCAGTCTCGGTGGCAGAAGGATTATGGTTAGGAAGAGATGATTAGTGAAAGCGTTCAGAGTCACTTGGGTAGAATATCCTAGTGTTTAGTTGTGATTAGTATTAATTAATTGGACTTTGGAAAACTGAGCGTAAAGTTTTAAGGGACCAGGGTCTCTTTGTGTATAAGTGACGCGTTGATAACTGTTGGAATCGACAGACATGGAGGTATTGAGACAGTCTTCCTAAAACTGACTGATGATGGAAGGTTTAACCTGAAGAGTGGAAGAGGAATTATAGTGACTTTACTATGGAAATCCTCCGTGAGCAGAACAACAGAACAGTGGACTGTGATGGCTTCTCCGAAAGGGGACCGGAGGAACATCTTGGAGCCCGGAGGCTCAAAAGTTTCCCAGTGACGCTCTGACTATGAATTGCCTTCCATGATTCAGGCCTTGGCTTCACCACACTGTTCCTTGCCTTTTTTAAAAGCTGCCTTCTCTCCTTTGTCCTGATTATTTTCCACAAAAACCTCTGTGCATCTTAATCTCAGGGTGTCTCTGGGACTCTGAAGGAGGTGAAGGAAACTGGCTTTATGTTTTTATCGTCGAGTCGCATGAGCTGCAGTTGTAACTGCCACTCACACATAAATGGCTAACTGGTTTTCTCTCCCTTTCCAAAAAATAAACAGTATTTTCTATTATTATCCCAGCGATGACTAAATCCACTTTGACAATATGTTATGCAGTCCTGGCTGGCAAAGAGAAGTGGCCTATTAAACAGCCTCCCCTGTGTAAGTGCTCACTGTGCACTGTTCCCCCACAAACCTTTCTTTCCAAATTGCACAACTTTCTGCCTGAGCAAACCGCAGCTGTCAGGAGGAAAAGGAGAAATAAGTGTAACCAGAGCTACTGCACTGACACCCAAATCCCCAGATACCTGCTAAAAGCAAACACCAAGTAGCTGTCTCACATAGGAGCCTGTGGACAACAGAGAAGGATATTTAATTAAGATTACTCGAGCGTAGAGAACAATCTCCTTCACATGCCCCCTGCAGGAATAGCAAACCTTGGCTGATAAGATCTCTTTGGAGGAAGTTCCCCTTGCAAGATCATTAGCTTCACTGTGTGAGACTCTCTCATGCAAACAGACGCACACAGGTCACACCAGCATATGCACAGCAGTGACGCACGACAAAAGAACTAGAGAAGACTCCCATTACATAGCAGTGTGATCCATTTCGGGTTCACGCCACTCCAGGCAGCCTTAGTGGTTTGAGAAATTCATGGACGCATGTGAAGTTCTAGTAACATTAAATTAACTGCTTTTCTGCATTAGCAGTACTGTCACGCATACGGCAGACATTGCAGGTTGTGAGAGCCTGTTTACCAGCGTGGTGACGTCACCGCCCTTCCCTGTGAAGAGCAGGGACCGCAGCCACCGGGCTGACGGGAGATTTCCCTTTGGCTCAAGTGGCTGGGTCCCTGTTGAGTGATGCCGGAGGCCCAGGTTTGAGTCCCCAACCGTGGGGGGCTGACCTGAGACGGCAGGGGTGAGGGTGCATACCCACATGAACCCGAGAGTGCTACAGTACAATGTGTAGTGTACATCATTAACTACAATCCAGTTAAATAATATTACATTGAAAGGGTACTGAGAGGGGTAAAAAAAAACACTGTGAGTCAGTGCGTTATGCTGATCTGAGCCCTGTATAGACTGTCAAACATTTATACAGCATGTAGTACTTCTCATACATAACATGAATCTATGGAGAAAGGGCATCTTTCAAAGCATTTGGTTCTGCTATGAATTTATTTTGATCAATAAAAATTTTCTCTTGAAATCATCCTGTAAACTTATTTGTTCTTAAAGATAATGTCATTGATATAAACATAGATACAAAATATAGACCTAATTATTCCTCGTTTGTTATGTTAAGGCTATTAAAGAAGGCAAAATGTAGTTCAAGACTGGTACACAATGAACCATTCTTGTCCAGTGCTAGTGGGTTATATGGGTATTCATCATCAGATAATGATAGATGCCACTGTTATGTAGTGTAGAAATTAGTAAATTGTTTGAAATTCAGTTTCCATTATGAAGTATTTTTTTTTTCTTACTAAAGATCATAACAACTCCACCTGCGCTAAACATGATAATCACCGAGCTCAAGCCCCAGATGAGCTCGGGCCTACTTGCCGTAACACCGCCTGCCTCGTCTGACTTTCCGTAGCCAGACACTCCGCCTCCCGACGGCGCAACTATATAACCTCTGGCCGCAGAACAGAAAGAGGCGGAGATTGTGGGTGTTGATTTTTCAAATTTCACTTACAGCTGACAGTCACACTTAGGAACAGGTGAGAGAATTCGCAAAAAAAAATTAAAAACAATTCTGGTTGGATGTGTAAGTCGTCTAAATGTTATTCGTTTATTCGTTATTTGCAAGCGACTGTCTTTACAGAAGTCGAGTTAGATAGGTTCGCTAAATGATGTGTATTTCTGTTGTTGTTGTTCTGTCTTTGGATTGACCTTCGTCGTGAATGAACTGGTCGAAGTTCATGGAGGTGAACATCATGATCAGAAGGATATGGCGAAGGATTTTCAAGGTCATTGTCGTTTGCTGCCGAATCCTGCGCTTGTTTCTATAGGGATGCCGCACAGAGATATACATTGCAAACGGGACAGAATGCTAACAGATGCACAAAGTCTAGTGATTTCTCGCTTTTACCCAAAGCCCCTTTCTATTCAGTTTTTTCAGACAGTAAGGCGCACATTAAAAGCGTTGAACGACCAGCTTGCATTTTACAGAAGAACTGATGCAACGTGCCGTAATGTAGCTCTGCAGTGTACAGTACTTAAAAGTCCGTCAGTCAGTCTTTTCCCTGTATATCTTTATACTGTCCTAACACTTTACCTCCCAGGCGCAGTTTTTGCTGTACGTGCTTCCCTCATTGAGCCCACTAGTTAGCCTCTTGTGTTTATATTTAAGTACTGTATCTCGATAAACATCTCCTATTATGGATCTCGCCCATTAAAAGACTACGTAGTGTGGAGTGCATTACTAGCATATCGCTTTATCATGGTTGCATCGGGCTACAGTGTAGTCAGAGAAGACGCGGTAAGAGTGCTTTATATTCCTCCGTGGACCTTAGTATTGTACACGAACAGGTCTGATTTTAATAAATAATGCGTCTTGGGTGTGTGTGTGGGTGGGGGGGTTCTGAACCATGTAGCGTCTCACTTCACAAAAAACGGTAGCGTCATCCCCTCTCTGTGCATAACCTTTGCTGGCTGAGATGAAAGAGACTGACAATGCTATTGGAAACGCGTGTGGTGTGGTTTGATAAAATGTACTTAGATTTCTGCCTCATTATTTCAAATCATTGGTTCCATCAGTGATTTGCATTGCTGACTCACAGCACTGGGACCCGGGGCTAAATTCCTGGGGTGCTATCTGGCTGTGTGGAGTTTGTATGTTCTCCCCATGTTCATGTGGGGTTCTGCTGCGCGCGTTAGTGGGTTTCTTTAAGGTTGGCCCTGGTGTGAGTGTGTTCGTGTGCCCTGTGATGCACTGGTGTCCCATCCAGAGTATATCCCGCCTTGTGCCCACTGCCTCCTGCCCTGGGCCACCGTCACCCTGAACTGGGTAAAGCAGTTGGTGAAAGAGATGTGATGTAATTATTTTAAATGGAGGTCAATGATAGTAGTTATTACAATATTCAATAGAAATAACACCCAAAAATTAAATTTAGTGAAATGATTATGGAGTGTTTTAGTCAAAATGTGGCTTAACCCACTTGGCTGAGGGCTGACCTGACCAGAGGACGAGGAGGATAGGATCCCGTACAGTGAGTGAAGAGTGACCAGGGGGCAGCTGTACAGGTAGAAACATTAGTGTTTCTAATGTTTTAGTTAGCTGGTGTGTGGTGAGCGTTCTAGCACACTATGGTTGCTGTCGCATCATCCAGGTGGGGCTGCACATTGGTGGTGGTGGAGGGTAGTCCCCATTACCTGTAAAGCGCTTTGAGTGGAGTGTCCAGAAAAGAGCTATATAAGAGTAAGCAATTATTATTTAATAATTTTAGAGGTGAGTAAATGATGTCAGGAATGATTACAAATTACTGACAGTTGAGTCCAGTCGAACTTGGCTGTTGTCATCCCTCCTGAACTGGTCTGGTGTAATTAAGCTAAAATATAGGGCTACATGCGTAATGGCATGCACGGAAAAAATAGATATGCTGGATGGTGATGTATCCATTTTATAGCAAACGGAACAAGAGAACAAAAAGTTCAGTATGTGGAGGTTAACCGAGCATTTTGTTTTGCAAAATCTCTGTTTTTAAGCACTGATATGCTAGTGAGTGCGCGGGCGTGTAACCGATACAAGGCCTTGCCAGCCTTGAGCTTTTTATTTTTTTTTCTCTCTCATTTCTCTTTGTTCCCGTCTGACATTCTTTCCATTTCTGTTCCTGTCTGTCTGCCCCTCCTCCTCCTGGGGGGCTTGTGTGTGTGTGATGTGTTGTGTTGTGTGTTTCCCCGTGGCTGTGGGTGGGCGTCTCTGTCCGGGAGTGACGGCTCTTTCTTTGGCAGGTTTCGGGTTCAGCATGGTGGTGTTGTCCAAGGAGTATGGTTATGTGCTGCTGACCGGTGCCGCCAGCTTCGTCATGGTCGCACACCTGGCCATAAATGTCGGCCGCGCACGCAAGAAGTACAAAGTGGAGGTGAGAGGTCGTAGGGGTCATGAGTGTGTGTGTCGGGGGGTCAATGAAGATATCTTACGGACCTCTTGGTTTTGTCACTTGGGGGGAAAAAAGTAAAAATAAGATTTTTGGCACTGCAGTAGGGTAAGGGTTGGAATTAGGGTCTGTTCTAGTGCAGTGTTTCCCAGTCCTGGCCTGGGAGTACCTCTTGATTAATTATGCTTATTGAAATGGCCTTTTGATTTTTTTTTTAATGCCTACTCTGCACTCAGTCTCTAATGTTTTTATGCACCTTATTACCAAGAAACATTGATAGAAATGACTGTACTTGCTTCAGATTGATTTAAAACTTATATAAAAAGCTGGTTTTCCATAGCTTTCTAAAGAACGTTGATCGTTTTTATCATTTAGTGATGTACAGACACAGGCGATACTGACGGTCAGACTCTTGAACTATCAGCATTCTTAGCGCTGTTCACACTGATTTGAATTCCACCTTGGAACAATAAACCTTAATTATAGGAGTTATGAAACCCAACTTGATAGATCTACTTGGAGTTAATGCCAATATCT